AACTTCTTTATGTTGCTACTAATGATGGTCAAATTGCAATGATAAATCCGGAAACTGGTAAACAGGTATGATATAATAATACCGGTTCATTTTTTGTTTCCAATTTCATTTTTGTTTGAAATGAAAAATTCGATTAATTATGAAAAAAAAGTGATCGTATTGTTAATGTATGAATATGATATATAAATAGCCTTTGAGAGATTTTCCCGAAGATTTTCCCGAATATGATATATAAATAGCCTTTGAGAGATTTTCCCGAATGTTCCCAGAAGTTTCATATAAAATGCAAAAGTACAATAATTCATTAATATGATGATATGAGAAGCAAAGATGAAATTTAATAAAATATTATGTAAACAATATAAGGTGTTTTTTTTTACTTTTTTTTTCCGTGAGAAGGGGAAATTTTAGCATTATCCCCGGGGAAAATATATGGAGCGGTCATTTAATATCTGACCAATATTGCATATCGTATACTGATAATAAGCAGATAAATTAAATAAATTACATTTAATTAAGGCAATAAGTGGTTAAGTGAATAAAATGATTAAGTTAAATAATTAATTATTTAAATAAGCTAGGTAATTAATTCACAAATTATGTAAATAATTTTGATTTATTTTTATACCACGAAAAAAAAACTCTTAAATGCTTCCAAAAAATATCAAAAAAAATGAAATAAATTTTATTTTAAGTAAAAATTTTATTTTAAATTTTCAAAACTAAATTTTATTTTAAGTAAGAAAGAAAAAAATAGTAAAATAAAATTTTTTGAAAATGACATTTTTCAAATCATAATTACTACTAAGATTTCACTTTTTTTTTAAACAGTTCTATTAATTGATCTAAAAATTCGAAAATTCAAAAATGCAATTTATATCTTTTTCACATTTAAAAAAAAAAAGAATTGTAATATTTGAATTATTAAATTTTCTTCGAAAACATTCGAATAATTTTACTCAAAAAAGTGAAAAAAAAAAAAAAAACGAAGTGGAATATTAAATATTCTATTAGCAAAAAGAAAAAAAAACAAAAAAACAAATGAAATTTGGAAATTAAAATTTTGGAAATTGATGGAATTAAATTTACCGAAATATGAATTAAACAGAAATTGAAAAAAAGAGCAAAAAACGGAAAAAGACGGTAAAACTTCTTTTTCCCTTTTTGGCTAATCGAATAAAATTAGTAAAAAAAAAGAGAATGAAATTTAATGATGACATTAAATAGCATGCGGTAATCTTTGAAGAATTCAAAAATTTTTGTTTTTTTTCAAACAATTACTCTTGCCATTTTTAATTTATTTAAAAAAAAAATTTTTTTTTATATTTTCAATTTAATGTACTATTCACGAGCGCATTGCAAATTATCAGTTAATTCATCATAAAGCATGGAAATTTCAATTTAAAATTTGAATTAATTTATTTTAAAAAAATTTGAATTAATTTATTTTAAAGGATTAATTTATTTTAATTAATTTATTTCAAAATTTGAATTAATTTATTTTAAAATTTGTTTTAAATTTATTTTAAAAATGAAATTATGAATTGTTCTAAAATTTTTATTAAACAACTATTTGAAAATGTTTCAATTTCCTTCTCACTTTTTCTTCTTTTTTCTTTTCGTTGTTCTTGTTAATGAATTCAATTTTAAATATTATTCAAATTAATTATTTCTAGAATTCATTATATTACTAAAAATGATAAATTATCGATTGTATTTATGATTGAAATTTGGCATAAAAATTAATTAATGAAAAAGTTTGAAAGATTAATTCGTTGCATATTATTGGTTAATTCATCATACAACAAAAAAAATGTTCGATTAAGTTTTTATTAAATTATTTAATGGACGAAATTGAAAATCGCTTTGAAATTTTCAATAAAATAATACTTTAAAAAGTTTCAACTTCTTTTTTCTTTGGAATTTCTATTAAAAATTTTAACTTTTTTTCTTTCTTTGAAATTTCTATTAAAAGTTTTAACTTCCTTTTTTCTTTGAAATTTCTATTAAAAATTTCAAGTTCTTTCTTTTCTTTGAAATTTCTATTAAAAATTTTAACTTCTTTTTTCTTTGTTGACGAATTTAGTCCAAAAAAAAGGAAAGATAATAAAAAAATTTCAAATTAAATAATTCCAAAACTTATTACATATCAAAAACGACATATTATTGATTTAATTGTAAAAATAAAAAAATTTAGTATAAAAAATAACTAATAAGAAAATGTGAAAGATAAAATTTGTTATAATTTTTTGCCAAATTTTTATTTTTATTTATTATTAAAATTAATACCAACAATTGCATTCATTTGTTTAAAATTTGAAAAGAAATTGTAAATGTAATATTAGCAGTAGCAATTTTAAACTATCATATAATGTATAAAATTTTAATTTTTAATTAATAAATTAAATTGCAAATTGAAAAGAAAATGATGAATTACGATTTTTTTTTTTTTTCAGTTAGAAACTATCAATGTTAATGGCAAAATAAATCGAATGACAGTGACACGTAATGGTGATATTATTATCTTGAATGGTACCAATTTAATATCATACCGAGATGGTCAAAAATACCGGGAGATAAAATTACCGGTAGTTGGTAAAAGCTTATCAGCATTTGCAAATGAGGTTATTTCATCAATTTCTTTCTTTCTTTTTTATTTTCAAAATTAAAATAAAAAATATAACAGAATTAAAAGCACATTTTGAAATGCTAACATTAGGTAATGTTTTGAAGCTGCATGTAATTATTGTCATTAAGTTAATTAATGTTAATTAGTAATACAATATCTTAAACGAGAAATTTACAGTCATAAATTCAAATTTGAATGGAAAAAATTGAAAGTAAAACGTTGCCAAATAATTGAAATTATAATTTAATAACTGAAATAAGAAATATAACAGAATTAAAAAAAAATTCGTAAAATTTCATAAAAATTTAAATTTTGAATAAAAAATTGAAAGTAAAACGTTGTCAATAAATTAAAATTATAATTTAATAATTGAAATAGGAAATATAATAGAATTAAAGAATTACAAGTATATTTTGAAATATTAGCATAAGATAAAGTTTCAGAGTTTGCATACAATTTTTAACATTAGATTAAATAATATTGGTAATTAATATTAATTAGTGATGCAATATCTTGAATGAAATATTCATAGATTTAAATCTGAATAAAAAAATGAAAAGAAAAAAATTGAAAATGAAATACTGCTAAATAATTAAAATGAAATGTTTGAAGATGAAGCAAAATTAATAATTTCAAAAATCACTTATCAAGCAGAAAAGAAAATGAAGATTAAAAAGGGATTCGAAATAATTCTTTAAAATTATAAAATTGTGTGACAATTTTGACAAATTTAACAATTTAGAAATTATGTGATTTATTTTTTTTCTCCTCTACATGATAATTTTTGAAATTTACGAAAGCAATAATATTTTGATACATTAAAATATGCTTGAATTTGATCAATACATTCAATAAATACTTGGGAATTATTTAATTTAATTAAATGTATATCAAAAAGTGCTCAAAAACATTGCCCAGTTAAATAAATTTCAAATAATTTTGAAATATAAATTCATCGAATTATCACTTTATCTTACTCAATCCATTAACTTAAAATCAGTATTATGCAAATTGGTTTATTGCAATTTTTGATAATTTGCAAATATACTTAAATTTAAATTTAATTTCAGAATAGTGCTTAAATAAAAGTGCTTTGCTATTTTTTGCCATTTTAATCATTTTAATTTTTGATAATTTGCAAAATTTGTAGGAAGACTTGGAACGGATCATTACGCTTGGCAGAAGTAACGATGTATTATTTGTATTTACGAATGATTTAAAACCAATTGAAGAAATATATTACAAAAATGATGCTAAGGAAACATGTAATTTTGCTATTTTGCATCAAAAATATTATTATATAAGCTGCCAAAATGCTATTTTGCAACTTTCAGAAGTTAGTTTATTCAAATTTTTGAATGCTTAATTGAATTTTAAATGAATTTAGTTTAATCCGATATTTTAATATTTTTATTTGAAAAAAAAAGAAAAGGAAAAAAAATCAATGACGAGATTTGAAAGTGATCATTTAATTTTGTTTGAATTTTTAAAATTAAAATTTTCTAAGAATTTAAAAATTCTACACTTCTTATTGTTGTAATTTATAGCATTACAATGATGTTTTATTTCATTCCTGAATTATCTCGCATTCTTAATTTTTTTTTCAATTTCATTCTTGAATTATCATACAATTTTAATTGTTTTAGTTCCATTCCCGAATTATCTTGCAATTTCAATTCTTTCAATTTCATTCTCGAATTTTTCCACAATTTTAATTTTTTTTAATTCCTATTTCCCAAATTCATTTACACAATTTTAATTTTCTTAATTGAATTTATCCCTTTACTAATTCTTTTAATTTCCTACTTTTCTAAGGGATTATCTCACAATTTCAAGTTCTTTCAATTCCATT